CAGGCGCGTGCTCGAGTTGGGCGTGCCGCTGGTGATGGTGCACGAAAAGGACCCGGACGCGGGCGGCGCCCCGTTTCATACGCTCTTCCAGCAGACGCCCGAGGACCTCGTGCGTCAGAAGCGCCTCTTCGACGACCTCGCCATCGACCTGCACGCCGCACCGGCGCACCGAACGGTGTCGCTCCGCCTGGCGATGCGCGCGCTCGGAGCCAAGCCCGCAAGGCGGCGACGTCTCGCGCCGCTGCGGTGGGGCTGGCTCGCGGCGCGGTGGTGGCTCGGCTGGCGCGGGGCGCAAGAGGCTTCGCTGTCCGAGGCGAGCACGTCCGGCTCGCGGAGCGGGAAGAAGGCGAAGCTAGATTGTGGTCGGAACACCCCTGCTGAGCGTGTTTAAATGAACTGGGTTGTGCTGCGCTAGTTCATCGATGCACGATGCTCGATGGGCTTTCCCCCAACCCCCAAGTCCTGGAGTGATTCGACTCCACACAAGTCACAACCCGGAGAGGTGACAGGATGCTGGCTCGGTGGTCTCAGGCCCAGTGAGGTACAGGTAGTGCACACCCGGAGCAGGACTCCGGTAAAGTACTGCTAAGAAAGTACTAAAGCCGTAACTCCCACACACTCGACACTGGTCTCTGGTCACTCGTGCTATATTACAAAATTTACAAGCGCTGGGGGAGCCGAGCCAAAGTAGCCCTGAGGTGCCCTGAGCACATATGCGAGCACCCATGGTCATAAAGCCGTATCTCTTCGTACGGGGGGGGGGGGGGGGGGAGGGTCGCCACGGCCGGGGGAGGAGTTCACGCAAGAGGGGAAGGTTCTCCTTGCCGGTAGGAGCTGACGGCAGAGGAGCGCGAGGCGCGCCGCAAGGAGCGCGAGGCCGAGCGGGTGCAGGCGTTGCTCGCGGCGGGCAAGGACGTGTACGCCGGCGAGCGAGACAACGCCGGCACGCCCGCCACCTCGCGCTTCCGCGACGGGGGCGAGAGACTTCCGCGAACCTTCTCGGAGCCTTCCTGCAGGCATGCCCGACATCTCGCACCTCTGCGACGGGAAGGGGCGGCCGCTCAAGCACAACCGGTCGTGCCACGTGTGCACCCAGGTCTGCACACCCGCGTGCATTGGGCCCTGCACCGAGTGCCGGCCCAGTTCCCGCCTGTCTCGGCGTGGAGAAGCGAGGGAGTACGGGAGTGCCTGGCCCTTGCCCCCACCGCTCCGTGTTTGGGAGAGAACTGCCTCCCATCCTCGCCCTACTGTGTGCCGTACCTCGCGCAGGGCAACGCCTCGTGGCGCGGCGGCTTCTTCCAGCCTCTCGGCTGCTCGAAGTGCGAGAAGATCTACTGCCCGCGCTGCATCGGCAACATCCAGGCCAAGCCCGAGAGAGAGCCCAAGAGGGCCCGAGAGAGGGCCCGAGAGAGGGCCCGAGAGGACTAACGCGCTGCATCGGCAACCCTCCACAGGGCAAGCCATACGCCGAGCACAAGGAGGAGATCGACCAGTTCATTGAGGAGCACAAGCTGTCGTACGAGTGCGTCTGCTGCGAGAACAAGTGCGCGTGCCAGGCCAAGGAGTTCGAGCCGCTCGAGGTGATCTCCTCGTCGGCGGACAAGTGCGCCGTGCTGCGCGTCTCGGCCAAGCACCCCTTCAAGCCGGGCGACAAGGTGCGCGTCACCGGCCACCACGGCAGCTGCCGCGACGACGAGCTCAAGAAGGGCGAATGGGCCGTCAAGCAGTCTCTCTCGCCAACCTCCTTCTCGATCGAGCTCGACTTGCGCAAGGGCGGCGGCAAGGGCGGCAAGGTGGAGATGGTCAAACTGCAAAAGCACAAGCGGTGGGGCTGGGCCGGCGCGACCGGCTTCGGCATCCAGAAGGATGCTCCGGCGGGCAAAAAGTATTGCCCTCCAGCCAAGCGGCCAAGCGGGGCGAAGGATGCGCCGCCTAGCAAGAGGCAGGCGGCGGCGGGCAAGAGCAAGGTCGAGGCGAAGCCTGCCAAGGCGCACCTCACCAAGCAGTGGCCGCAGTCGAGCCCCGCCAGGGGGCGCGCACGAGCGGGCGCATAGGCCGGCTGCGCGGGGGCGCCGACTGATCCTGCAGAGGCGATAGGCCGGTTGGTGATGATGAGGCTGGGCCTGGCGTGCTCTGAGCTCGCTGAGCAGTAGTCAGCGCGTGCACCAGCTCACGTAGCCGTACTCCTTTCTTCCAGTTCCCGCTGCTGTGACTGTCGTGTGCGGGCCGCGATGCCATAGTACAACAGCCTCTCCCCGCCACCCCCACGCCAGACCCCAGACCGCAGACGCCACCTGCCTGTGCCACGTCCCCCACCCAGCCAGGGCCCGGGCGCCCAGGGGCCCAGCCGCGGCGCGCCCCCGCGCGCGGCAAACCGGCCCACCTCCCCGTGTTCGCTTTTTTATTTATGAGCATTAATTGATGCCCCCTACTCGCTACTGAGTACTGTCCCCAGGCCTAAAAAGTCTGCACACGACCCCGGCGTGAACACGACTAACTGACGGATCCGCTCCTGACAGTGGCACGCAGCGTGGCGGGTGGCGCGTGCCACTGTCTTTGTTTGAAGTAAAAAGTCAAGCTGCTGTACGGCCCCGGCATCGCCTTCCCAGGCTTAGCTAGATTGAGAGATATTGTGCACATGGTTTTTTTCTACAATATATACACTGACACTGAACCTCCCAGAGCTCGTCCCGGTCCGTCACGGCCATCCTTGGCCTCCGGAGGGGGCCCCCGGCCGCGGCGCGGTGCGGCGGCGTCACAAATGTCCGACCACAGAGCACCGGGACGCGGTTGGGCGATCCGAGGCCCAACTAGGCGTATGCATTGTCTATCCAGGGCTATCACCTGGACCTATCAACAGGCGCCTGCGGCGCCGTGCTCAGGAGCTGCTGCTCCAACCTGTTCACACTTTCGTACCGCACAGTACCATCACCACAAAGATGAAAGAACCCTGATGTCCCTTGTGCACAAAATATATCGCACGGCGCACGGGGGCGGGGAGGCCTCGTGTACACGTCTTCCTTTCTTTTTACCCATCTCACTTCCCATCTCCTACGAGCTTCGTACTGTAGAGCGGCGTCGTTTTATTTATCCTCTACCCCCCATCATTGGTGTGGTGCTGCGTTGACACGATCCCACGCACGACATATACTCTCCACTGAGAGCTCAAACCTGAAAAAGACAACCGTGATATTGTGAAAAGTATTGTGAACGTGGTCGATGATCGTGTCAGCTGTCACGACTCAACAGTCACGTGTGAGACTGAGAGACGTGGCGTAGGTTACACGTCCGGGAGAGGGACAACACTACCGTACCGTACGTACAAGTACAAGTACATCGTAGCTTTCGCCGGCCTCAATGCTCAAAGCAGGCGTGCCGGCAGAATTGGTTCTTGGGCTTGGCCCAGTAGCTTTGCCTACATAAGTGCGGCATCAGGCCCCAAGTCTCGTAGCTCTGCTGCTGCTGAGACCATCCACTGGCAGCACTGCGACTTCGCTAAGGTGGCACGCCCTCGGCAGGGACGGGCGGCGGCGAGGAGCATTCCATGCAGTCCCTACAGCCCTCCCAGCGGCACCGCAACGCCCAGGAGTGCGTCCTAAAACCGCAGTACCTCATACAGCGGGCCGGCGGCGACGGCGAAGGTCCGGGCTCCTAGCCGGATACGGGGTCTGTTGCCACTGGCTGGCCTCTCCCAGCCAGATAGGTAGGACGCAGGTAGGTTGGGCTTGCTTGTTTCGCCCGAAAGGGCCCTGAAGGGAAGGGACTCCCTATTCTGCAAAGGGGTGCGAACGGAGAGAGCAAACTCCCCCACCCGCCCAGCGGCCGGCCAGCTGCGACAATATATACATGCCGACAGAGGACGAGGGCGCTCGGAGCGAATTGCAACAATCGCCGGTCGAGGGCGTGGCCGTGCCAACAGCTTTGGCTGCCGCAGGCGCTGGGGCTGCCGCAGGCGCTGCGGCTGCCGCAGGGTGTGCGCTCGCCACCACCACCGGAGCCTCGATTTCCTTCCCGTGCGGGCAGTGTGTTGTTCGCTGCGTCACCACGCTCCCGCCCGCTGCGGGCTTAGGCGGCGCTCCTATGCGGCTGTCGCGAGTGCGAGGGCGTCGCTCGTGGCTGCCGACGCGGCAGCGGCGAGAGCCGTCGGCGAGCACGCTGCGGGCTTGTCGAGGGCGGCGAGGGCGGTCCCGGTCGCCACCGCGGTCCCCGTCAACCGGGGCCCGGTGGCGGTGGGGACCGCGGTGGCGGTGGGCGTGCAGCCTGGGTGGGGCGAAGACTCGATCCTCCCGGCGGGTGACCTGCGCAGCGCGTGCTGCTGCCTCATCGCCCTCTCGTTGCTGCAGATCTTCACGCTGCAGGTTTGAAGGAGGGGCCGCGGGTTAGCCGTTGCCTCACCACACAGTAGAAAATACGGTTCCACCGACAAAAATTCCTTCCCCGTATGCAAGGGCTCGCTCGGGCTGGCGGTCGGAGGGCTGCTGCTGTGCGGGCGGCTCGACGCGCGGCTGCTCTCGCAGCGCCTCTTCTTCCTGCGCCTCTGTGCGGTGCTGATCCGAGTCCTCTGCGCCCTCGCCATCTTCCGGTCGAGCGTTGCGCTGCTCCGCCTCTACCACCACCCGCCCGAGGCGAGGGGAGATTGCCCCGAGATCGGCCGAGATCGGCCGAGATGGCGTCTACCGCTGCTCCGCCTCGACCATCACCCGCCAAGGGAGGCTCGCTCGCACGCGCCTCAGCAGATTGAAGCCCTGCTTGAAGCCCTGCTTGAAGCCCTGCTTGAAGCCCTGCTTGAAGCCCTGAAGGCTCACGGCTGACCGTTAGGTGTGCTCTCACACCTGCCTCTCCGCGGCTGACGGCGAATGCGACGACGGCGGTGCCGACGCGCCGTACGACTCTTGCGTGCTGGGCACCGACTGCTCGGACTGCGGCAGCCGCCTCAACTACGTGCAGGCGGTCGTCACGCTGCACGGGCTGAGCGGCGCGCTCTCCCTCGCGCTCGTGATTGCGTCGGACCGCGTCGTGGGGCGGGCGCAGGAGCTGCACCTGCTGAGCCTCGCCGCGATGGAGGGCGTGCTGCTCTGACGCCGTGTTGCAGAGGACCCTCGACATATTCGTTTTACCCGATTTCGCCACACCGATCGCCGTTTCGCTTTTCGGTTTTTGCGGCGGAGTTGGCAGAGTTGCGAGACAGTTTTCCCACCGAGCTCGAAACCGTAACCGACCGCGGTGAAATCCTTCGGGAAAACAAACGCAAAACGTTCGCTAGGAACGAAACACAAGAAAATCCCCGTTTTCCCTTGCGGCGTGTGTACACGCATTGTGTGTGGAGTGTGCGGCCATACTTTGTGTACGTGTGCGCGCTCTCTCACTCCGCATCGGCAATGCCCCGGATGCCGAGCTCGTCTAGCTGCCTCACCGCGTCCGCCGGCGAGCGCGCGTCCGGGCGGCGGCGGGCGTAGCCGCCGGCTGGCAGCCCGCCCGCCACGCCGAGCAGCCCGTCCGACGCCGCCAGCCCCGCGGGCGAGACGACGGTGCCAACCTCGCGCAGCAGCGCGAGCAGCAGCGGCCGCGACCGCTCCGAGACCAACTCGGCGAAGGCGTCTGTCTGCACGACGGCGGCGAAGTGGCGGACGATGAATGCCGTCGCCTGGGCGCGCAGCGCCGGCGCCTGGCACGATTCGCGGCGAGACATAGCCGAGAGACAGCCGAGAGACAGCCGAGAGACAGCCGAGAGGGAGCCGAGAGGGAGCCGAGAGGCGAGATGGCGGCACCTGGTACGAGTCGGCGGCGGAGAGGACCGCCGCGGCGTTCTCGGGCGTCAAGCTGCGGCCGATGATCTCCGCAGCGGCCCTCTTGAGCGGCTCGACGCCGTAGAGGTTGGCGGCGGCGAGCACCTCGAGCCAGAGCAGCGGTCAGAAGACACGACTCGCAATCATCGGGGCAGTGGCCATGAGTGGAGGCTGGCGGCGGCGAGCACCTCGAGCGCCGCCTCGGCGTTCATCTCGCGCGGCCGGCCAGAGTACAAATAGTGCAGCACCTGACCTCGGGTGATCTCGGGTGATCTCGGGGCATCTCGGGGCATCTCGGGGCATCTCGGGGCATCTCGGGTCATCTCGGGTGATCGCAGGTCATCGCAAGCCAGAGACCAGGCAGCGACCTGCTTGAAGGCCGCGTGCGAGACGCCCTCGATGCGCACTGTCTGTGCCGCCGCCTCGGCGTAGCCGGAGGTGAACATGCGCCGAAAGTACTCGCAGCGCGCAAAGAGGAGGAACTTGTGCGCGGGCACCTACTCGCGTGGCAATCTCGGACCGTCTCGGGCAATCTCGGGCAATCTCGACGAGCGTGTGGCGCGGGGCACCGTCTTTCCCTCCACCTCGAACCAGATGTCGGAGAACTGACCGCTCTCCACCATGCACTCGAGGTCGCCCGCGAGCGCCTAACCTCGGGCCATCTCGGGTCCTCTCGGGCCCATCTCGGGCGATCTCGGGGCCACCTCGGGCGATCTCGGGCGATCTCGGGCGATCTCGGGCAATCTCGGGTGATCACAGGCGATCTCGGGGCAGCCTCCGCCTGCGACGCCGCGCCTCGGTCCGCCTCGAGGGACCACTCGAAGCAGTCGCTAAAGTAGTGCCGCCCGTCGTACCCCCCAAAGATGAGGAGCGAACCGCCGTGCACCACGCTGACGTGCGCGCAGCGCGGCGCGGGCGCGGGCGAGCCTGCCCGCACCGCCTCCCACACACCCGAGGTGAGGTCGAGGCAGCAGAGGTCGTTGAAGGGCGAGCGGCCAGACTTGCCTGGGAGGGGGGGGGGAGGGGGGTGGGGGGGTAGCTAGAAGGGGGAGAAGGCCAGAGCTTCAATCTCGGCTCGTCTCGGGCGGTCCTGTCTGCTCCTGTCGGCTCCTCTCGGCTGATCTCGGGTGATCTCGGGTGATCTCGGCTGATCTCGGCTGATCTCGGCTCCTCCCGCCTCCGAAGGTGTAGATGCGGTCGCCGTGCACGACGGCGGTGTGGCCTCCCCTCGGCGACGGGGGCACGCCTGCGGTGTCCAGGGAGAGATGGGGGAGAGATGAGCGAGAGATGGGCGAGAGATGGGGGAGAGATGGGGCGAGAGATGGGGGAGAGATGGGCGAGAGATGGGGCACGCCTGCGGTGTCCAGGGAGGAGGAGATGACGCCTCACTCCCTCCCCCAGCCTCCCAGAGGAGGGAGAAGGGCGGCGCGCCGCTCGTGCGGACGGGGGCCCACTCGCTGGTCCGCAGGTCCATCCGAAAGAGGTCGTTGAGCGAGCGGGCGCCATCATACCTCGCGGAGTGGGCCGGCTCTTGGGGGTGGGTGGGGTGGGGTGGGGTGGATGGGGGGGGGTGGGGTGGGTGGGGTGGGGTGGGGTGGGGTGGATGGGGTGGGGAGGGTGGGGTGGGGTGGGGTGGGGTGGGGTGGATGGGGTGGGTGGGTGGGTGGGTGGGGTGGGGGATGGGTCCAGGCGGGCGCAGGGCTGGCACCGCGGAGCAAGCGTGCGCATCTGGCCCGGTCGTGCCTCGGTCGTGCCTCGATCGTGTCTCGGAGGTGTCTCGGAGGTGTCTCGGAGGTGTCTCGGAGGTGTCTCGGAAGTGTCTCACACCCGCCAAAGACATACAGCGCGTTGGTCGCCTCGTGCACGGCGGTCGACGGGGCAGAACGCGCGCCTAATCTCGGGCAATCTCGGGTAATCTCGGGTGATCTCAGTTGATCTCGACGGTGCAGAGCGCGCGCCTGGCGCCGTCCCCGCGACCCGCACCGGCGCCCACTCGGCGGACTGCACGTCGAAGGCGAGCGTGTCGTTGAAGTAATTCCATCCGTCGCAGCCGCCAAACACAATCAGCCGGCTGCCATGCACCACTGCGGCGTGGCCGCCCCGTGGGGAGGGGGGGGAGCCGGAGGCGGCCTCGACGCGCCACTCGCCGCTGTCGAGGCCTACGTGTACCATACCTCCAGGGTATCGAACCCAGTGTGGGTTCAGTCCCGTGGGTGGTGCGGTAGCGAGCGGGCCGTAAGAGTGGAAGTCCGCGAGGTACCGCTTCGAGTCGTAGCCTCCGAACACGTACAGCCGGCCGCCGAGCAGGACGGCTGCATGCGCGTCTCGCGGCGTGGGGCGGCCGTCGCCATCGACTTCAGAGTCGACGGTCCACGAGCGCGTCTCGAGGGACAGGACGAGCAGGTCGTTGCGGTATGTCGTTCCGTTGTGGCCGCCAAAGATGTACACGCACGCGCCTGAAACGACCGCCGAAGGAAAAACCCGCGAGCCGGGAGAGCCGCCCACAAAATCGACTGGCGTCCAGCGCGGGCCAAACTCGCCCGCGGGCTCGGCGCAGGAGGGGCCCGGGGCGGGCGCGTCCGCCGGCTCGAGCTCCTGCTCAATCAGCGAGGCTTGCATGATGGGCGGCGGCAGAGCGCACGGCCGCTCAGGCGGAGGAGGAGCGGCGCGAGAGGGAGGCCGACCAACACCGAGCAACACCTGCCCGCCCGGCGGAGGAGGAGCGGCGGAGGCCGACCAACACCGAGCGAGAGGGAGGCCGAGCCGGGCAACTTGCCGAGCCCGCCCTTTCCCGATCGGCTGGGTTCGGGCTCCCTGCGGATAGGGGGAACCTTGCATGAGGACTATTTTCAATCAATGAGGACGCTGTCGGGCAGGGGCTTGCCTCCCGAAAACTGGCCCGTAGGAACCTTGCTGAAAGCAAACGAAAAAGAATTTCGCGCGCCGGCTCCGGCACAAGCGGGTTTGGCCCAAAGCTGCGCGCTCGCTGATGCCACAAGGCGCGAAGCGGCCAACGACGAGCGCTCCCATGCCCGGCCGACCAAAAGCTGGCTCGGCCGGCTCCCGGCGCGGACACGCTTCAACGGCGGCTGCTGCGCCGCTCGCGCTGCCGAAAAAGATCCAAGCCGCGGCGGCGGCCGGCAAGGCGGGCGTGGTGCAGACGTGGCTCGCCGGGGATGGGCGGGTTGATGCGACGTGCGTGAATCGCGGTGTGAGTGGCTGTACGCTCCTGCTGATCGCCGTCGCCCACGGTCACAAGCAGCTGGTCGAGGTTCTGCTGAAGCGGGGCGCGAAGCCGAACGCGCAAGACAGCATCGGCAATACGGCGCTGATGGCCGCCGCCCACCACGGCCACGAGCAGGTGGCCGAGACGCTGCTGCGGCACGGCGCGGAGATCAACCATCAGGACAGCGGCGATTGCACTGCGCTAACGTGGGCCGCCACCCAAGGCCACGAGCGGGTGGTCGACTTGCTTCTGCGGCACGGGGCGGAGGTCGACCTGCAGGACGGCGGTGGCCACACTGCGCTCACGCGCGCCGCCTATCGCGACCACCCTGCCGTTCTGCTCCGGCTGCTGCGGGCGGGCGCAGACATGGCGCTGCGCTCTGCGACGGACAAGACGGCACTGCAGCTCGCCAAGGAGAAGGGCCACACCGAGTGCGTCGAGGCCTTCAGGCAGCACGTCAAGGAGGTGGCCAAGGCGGGGCGGCGCGAGGCGGCGGCGGGCGGCGCGGGCGGCGCTTCCTCGGGCGCGGCAGCGGCAGCTGAGGACGCGCCGCTGCTCGGCCAGCGAGTCGTGGTTTGCGGGCTCTCTGCCCGCCCCGAGCTGAACGGGCGGCGGGGCGTGGCGCGGAGCTTTGAGGGCGGGCGGTACGCGGTGGCGCTCGAGGGCGGCGGCGAGAGCGTGCGGGTGCGGCCGGAGAGGCTGCAGCCAGTGGAGGCGGCGGAGCAGGCGTCGAGCGGTGTCGCGGCAGTCTCCGAAGCGGTTGCGCAAGCGGCTGAGCGAGGCAAGGAGGAGGCGGCGCTGGTGTGGCTTGACGGCGGCGGGCGGGTCAACGCGACGTACGAGAGAGGCGAGGTGAGCGGCATCACGCTGCTGATGGGCGCCGCCCTCTATGGCCACGAGCGGGTGGTCGAGCTGCTGATTCGGCGCGGCGCGGAGATCAACCTGCGGAACAGCGACGGCGGCACCGCGCTGATGGGCGCCGCCCTCCAAATCCGGGCAAAATGGAGACTTAACCCCGAGCGGGTGGTCGACTTGCTGATTCGGCACGGCGCGGAGGTCAACATGCAGGCTAGCCGCGGCGACACCGCGCTGATGCTCGCCGCCAGCGAAGGCCACGAGCGGGTGGTCGACTTGCTGATTCGGCACGAGGCGGAGGTCAACCTGCAGAGCAACAACGGCTACACCGCACTGATGTGCGCCGCCAGCCTCAACCACCCCGCCGTCGTGCGGCGCTTGCTGCGGGCGGGCGCAGACACGGCGGCGCGCACCACGAGCGGCAAGACGGCGCTGCAGCTGGCCAAGGAGAATGGCCACGCCGAGTGCGTCGAGGCAATCAGGCAGCACGTCAAGGAGGTGGCCAAGGCGGGGCGGCGCGAGGCGGCGGCGGGCGGCGCGGGCGGCGCTTCCTCGGGCGCGGTAGCGGCAGCGGTGGACGCGCCGCTGCTCGGCCAGCGAGTCGTGCTCGGCGGGCTCTCTGCCCGCCCCGAGCTGAACGGGCGGCGGGGCGTGGCTCAGAGCTTTGAGGGCGGGCGGTACGCGGTGGCGCTCGAGGGTGGCGGCGAGAGCGTGCGGGTGCGGCCGGAGAGGCTGCGGCCAGTGGAGGCGGCGGAGCAGGCGTCGAGCGGTGTCGCGGCAGTCTCCGAAGCGGTTGTGCAAGCGGCTGAGCGAGGCGAGGAGGAGGCGGTGCTGGCGTGGCTCGAGGGCGGCGGGCGGGTCAACGCGACGTACGAGAGAGGCGAGGTGAGCGGCGTCTCGCTGCGAACGCTGCTGATGGGCGCCGCCAACTACGGCCAGGAGCGGCTGGTCGAGCTGCTGCTGCGGTACGGCGCGGAGCTCAACCTGCAGGACAGCGTCGGCATCACCGCGCTGATGTACGCCGCCCGCAGCGGCCACGAGCGGGTGGCCGAGCTGCTGATTTGTCACGGCGCGGAGATCAACAAGCAGGACAGCGCCGGCGGCACCGCGCTGATGTACGCCGGTAACGAGCGGGTGGTCGACTTGCTGGTCCAGCGCGGCGCGGAGATCAACCTGCAGGACAGCGACGGCGATACCGCACTGATGAACGCCGCCTTCCAAGGCCACGAGCGGGTGGTCGAGCTGCTGATTCGGCACGGCGCGGAGATCGATCTGCAGAACAGCGAAGGCTGCACCGCGCTGATGCTCGCCGTCTTGCAGGGCCACGAGCGGGTGGTCGACTTGCTGCTGCAGCACGGCGCGGAGATCAACCTGCAGGACAGCAACGGCCGCACCGCGCTGATGCGCGCCGCCTCCTACGGCCACGAGCAGGTGGTCGAGCTGCTGCTGCAGCACGGGGCGGATATCAACTTGCAGGACAGCAAAGGCTACACCGCGCTGATGGGCGCCGCCTCCTACGGCCACGAGCGGGTTGTCGAGCTGCTGCTTCAGCGCGGCGCGGAGGTCGACCTGCAGAGCAGCGACGGCTGCACCGCGCTGATGCTCGCCGCCGGCCACGGCCACGAGCGGCTGGTCGACCTGTTGCTGCAGCACGGCGCGGACATCAACCTGCAGAACAGCGACGGCGGCACCGCGCTGTTGATCGCCGCCTACTCCAGCCGGCCCGCCGTCGTGCTCCGCTTGCTGCGGGCGGGCGCGGATACGACAGCGCGCACTGCGAGCGGCAAGACAGCGCTGCAGTACGCCAAGGAGGCGGGCCACACCGAGTGCGTGCGCGCCCTCGAGGAGCATGCGGCGGCCGAGAAGGCGGCCGAGAAGGCGGCGAAGGAGGCGGCGTGGGCTGCGGGGGCGGCGGAGAGGGCGGCGGAGCGGGCGGCGGCGGAGGCGGAGGCGGCGCGGCACGCCGAGGAGCTGCTGGCGGAGGTCGAGGCGGAGAAGCGCGGCAAGGGCAAGAAGGGCAAGAAGAAGAAGAAGGCCGGCGGGAGCGGCGGCGCTGGGCCGTCGCAGGAGTCCGAGGCGCCGGCAGAGGAGGCAGCCGCAGCCAAGCCCGCGAAGCTGGACAGGGAGGGGTTGATCAGGCTTCTCGAGACGCTCCACGAGGAGCGGATTCGGTTCGGCATCACGGCGGGGACGTCGGTCGCGGGGCTGGCGGAGGCGTTGGGAGAGGAGGCCGCGGCGGCAGGCGAAGCGAGCGAGGAGACAGCGGGGGAGACAGGGGAGGCGGCAGCGGAGGCGGCAGCGGAGGCGGCAGCGGAGGCGGCAGCGGAGGCGGCAGCGGAGGCGGCAGCGGAGGCGGCAGCGGAGGCGGCAGCGGAGGCGCGCCGAGAGGCTGAGGCTGAGGCAGCCGAGGCTGTGGAGGAGGAGGAGGAGGCCGCGGCGGCGGAGGAGGCGGCGGCCGAGGCGGCAGTTGCAGCGGTAGCGGTGGCCGCGGCGGCGGCAGAGGCGGCGCTCGCCGCAGCCAAGGCGAGGCGCGTCTCGGCGGCCGCTGCGAGGGCGAAGGCGCGGGAGGCAGCCTAGCCCGCGAAGACCAAGAGGTCTGTTGCGTGCTGGCGCGCACTGGCAATGGCCAATGCCAATGGCGGGAAGGGTATGGAAGCTTGTTCTGCGTGCTGGCAATACCAATGCGCAACTGCACGGGGGGAAGATACTGCTACTGGGGCTCTGGTCTATGGTGAAGGCGAAGGGTCGTGCGTGTGTCTCTCTCGGCACTCGGGGAGAGGCTTTCCGGGGGTCTGGGCGCCGGAGGGGGGGGGGGGATACGGACTGCGGTGTGCGCGCACCGCACAGAACACAGACACTGTCGACACTCACTCTGTCTCTGAGTTACTGACACAGCTTTTGTGAGACAGAGTCAGAGACAGTTTTGACGACGAAAACTACTTTTATTCGGCAAACACCACATGATAAATCAGTAACCCGCACACAAACCAGCCTCCGCGCTCCGGCGCGGGCGGGGCCCTCCGCTACCGTCCAAACCCGAGTACACAGCGCTCTCCGAGAGCGCTGCGCAGACGGGTTACTATATCTAGATAGACGCTCAAGTGACAAGTCACACTCGGGCTCGAGCACACGGGTGCCATCACTGCCATCTGCACAAGGCATTACTCTCACGACACATGGGGACCGGGTGGAGCGGCGGCGGCGGCGGCACGCGCGCGCGACGCTGCGCACCGCTCCACAGCAACGGTAGCCGCACGCCGCCGCAAGAGGACGGCACGCCGCCACCACACAGGGATTTAATCATTACCTTAAGGTACGTCCCTACAGTCGATGCACCGTGCAAAAAGGGCCTAAGATATGCTCCTTGCGCACCAGTTACTTGCGCTTGGGCGCAGCGCGATCGCGTTCCTGCTAAAGGTCGAAACCGGGTTCAACAGAGCGCAACGGTCGCGAGCCGCTGCGATCGCAAGCACCATCAAATCGACGAGGAGGGCCCGGGTGCTGCTGGCCCTGTCGTAGCGGCTGGCGTGGAAGTGAGACACGAGTCGCTGCTCCACCAGTGGAAGCTGGTGGTCGGACGCGACATAAACCTCTTTGAGACTACAATGACTCAGGGAGTCCCGCACAAAGGTCGGCGTCAGATTGCAGATTGGCGTCAGAGACCGGTTGTAGTGCAGTCGGCGCTCACAACTCCCTTCCAAATTTCGCACGTGCACCGCCGCCGTTACGGTGCAGAACGGCGCAAGTTCCTTTCGAAGATCCCCTTTCGGGTGCTTCAGCAAAAGTGCCAAGGCGTCGTCGAAGACGCTGCGGTTGACCGCATGCAGCAAGGGATGCCGACGGTGGAAGCTCACCTCGGCAGTGATATTGGTAGTGGAGGGGCAGTGATTGGAAATGCAAAACGAGCGCCTGCTCTCCGCCAAATCAAAGTGATCGACAAACGGCTTCAGGACGGACGGAATGCAGACTGGCGAGCCGGTCAATTTCGAAAGCACCATCATGGTGGCCATTTGCACCAAATTGTTGTTTGTGCGGCCAGCAGGAGAGAACGATAGAGCGTGCCCGTTGCATGACACCATGTACGAGATTGCCGCCCGCGCGCTGTCCACAGCTCTCAGTTGGCTCTCTTTCCTCTGTGGTTGAGCCTCTCTTTCTCCCTCTTCTCAGCTGTCTCTCTCTCTCAGTCTCTCTCGGTCTCTTCTGCTACGAATGGGGCGAATGGGGGACGGCCTCGAGGACTTGTCGCTCGCCCCAATAATTCCCGGACAAGGGGTCTGCAACAGAGATAGGGTCGACTCCGCAGGGTCTGTGATTTTGTCTGACTCGCGCCAAAACGCTCTACCTACCTATCTATTGCGGGCGCCGACCGCCAGGCTCCGTGCCCACCTGCGTTCTTCCCAAGTTGGATCGTACTTTACGAAACGTGCGTCCTGCGTCCTCCGCCTCGTTTCACGGTGGCGCCATGTGTGTTCATGCGCGGGGGTGCTGGACCTCTTCTTCTCTCGTGACCGTTGAGCTCGGTATGTGAAGAAAGGCTACCGCCCGCTCGTACCTCGCGGGGCTATCGCTCAACCTGCCTATGCCGCCAGCCGCGCATGGTGCCGGGTGAATTCACGTTTTCCCATACGGCTCCATCTGAAAATCCGGGGCCAGGGTTCGGGCTCCTAGCCGGAAACCAAAACGCCCCACACCTACCTCCATCCCAGGCCGCGAAGCGAAACGAATAAATCGAGTACTCCGGGTCCGATCTTGACTCGGGGCCCCAACCAAGTGTCTGCCTGCCGCCGCCGCCACATACCGACAGGACTGCTAAACTGCCGCCGCCGCCACACACCGACAGGACTGCTAAACTGCTGCCGCCGCCTTACAGTGAATGCCGCCGCCAGCCGATTTGTGCGACAGTTGTGGCCGCTCGCTCGCAGCAGACGAGCCGCGGCAGCGCTGCAGCGACGAGCGATGCGACGAGCTGCGACGCTGCCGAGCTTGCGCCGGCGAGCGCTGCCCGAGGTGTGGCGGCGATGACTCGCTCTTTGTCGATGAGGCATCTCCGCTCGCGCTGCGCCGGCGCGTCTTTGCCGAGGCGTTTGCGACACAGGCCGGCGGCTCGGAGGCCGTCGACCCGCGGCTGCTGGTCGCGCGTGCCTTTGCTGCCTACGCCGGCCGGCCGCTGCTCGGCGAGCCGCGAGCCGACGGCAGTGTCCGGTGGTGGAGCTATGGCAGGTGCGGCGCTGCGGCGCGCGCACTCGGCGACGAGGTGAGGCGGCGGTGCGGCGGCGGTGGAGCAGCGGTCGTCATCTGCGCCTCCAACAGCGCCGGCTGGCTTCTTGCGGACTGGGCCTGTGCGCTGGTGGCTCGGCCTAGATGCGGATTCAGATCCACATCTCCCCGTATCTCCCCACATCACGAGGCCTAGATGCGGCGCACGGGCATCTCCTCGCATCTCCCCATCTCTCGAGGCCTAGATCAAGCGGTGTGCAGCTGTCTCCGTAGCCCACGTGTTCCGCCGCCGCGGGCTCCGAACACACGGCACGAGACCGTACTCTCGCCCTGACCTTGACCCTTCGTGACGCAGGCTGCGCTGCCTTCGATCGCGGCAGACGCGTCCGCCGCCCCTGCGGACGCGCTGGCGGCGGCGCGCGAGGCGGCGGCGGTGCGCGCGCGCACGGTGGCGGTGGCGGTGGTGGATGAGGCGCACGCCGGCGACTGGAGGCGGCTCGGGGATAGAGTTGGTAGAAAGACTAGAGGGGTGAAGACACCGTCTGTGCCAGCGACCGGACACCAGCGCGGGAAGGGTGGGGCGCTAGGCGAGCCGGAGAGGCGGCCACACGGGAGCGACACACAGACCACATAGACACAAGACTCTCTGTCGGCACTGTCTGTCGGCACAGTGCTGCCGCGCGTCCTGGCGCACCAGGCGGCTGCTGGGCGACGGGTGCGTCCTCACAGCGCAGGAGGTGCGAAAGAGGCTGCTTGCAGGGGGGCGGAGGGGCGAGGGAGGCGGCCAGGGCGGCGGCGAGGGAGGCGGCGAGGGAGGCGGCGAGGGCGGCGGCGAGGCGGCGGGCGGCGGGCGAATCGCCGCGACACCAGACGCCGCCACAGCAGAAGAGCGGCTCGTCACGTGCCTCTTCTCCTTCGGCTCCACTGGCGCGCGCAAGCCTCTCTGGTTCGATGCGCGTCGGTGCGCGGAGCTACGCGCCACCAGACACCTCCCAGACACCTCCTAGACACCTCCCAGACCCCTCCCAGACACCTCCCAGACGCCTCCCAGACGCCTCCCAGACGCCTCCCAGACACTTCACGGGCGCGCGCGGACGGTAGGTGGGCCGAGTGGAGCGAGCGCTGCCCGCCCGTCTCGAGGCGCGGAGGGGTGGCTAATGAGTGTGCATGAGGAAGTCTGAATTCTTATACCTGCCCGCCCGCCTGAAGGCGTGCGCGCGCCGCTCTCGCCCGCCGGTGCGCCTGCGCAGCTCGTCCGCCGCCTGTCGAGGAGGGATGAGGAGCAAGGGAGAGAGAGGGAGCGCGTGCGCTGAATAGGAGTGTCCGCGTCTCGTGCGGCGCGCTCTTTGCGCCTCTCTCCCACGGGCAGGCGCCGGACACGTCCAAGACTCTCCCGAGACACGCCCGAGACACGCCCGAGACACATCCGAGACATCTCAGCCTCTCGGTCCTCCCGCCCCTCACGCAGGCGCGGCGGGCGGCGTGGGGCGAGCTGCTTCACGGTTGGCGGCTGCCTCGAGATGACCCGAGATGACCCGAGATTTGGGCGTCTGGTAGGCGAGCTGCTCCACGGCGGGCGGCTCGGCCTCTGCAGTGGCCGGGGCGGGAGCGCCGCGGGAGGGCACGGGCTCCTCGAGCAGATCCGAGCCGTCGCACCGACACAGCTGGCCGCCGCGCCGCGATTCTTCTCGCTGTACGAGCGCCGGTTCGCGTCGGAGCTCACCGCGGCCGAGGCGGCGGCGGCCGAGGCGGCGCACAAGGCGGAGGAGGCGGCGGCGCAGGCGGCGCAGGCGGCGGCGGCCGACGCGGCGGACGAGGCGGACGAGGCGGAGGCGGTGGAGGCGGCGGAGGAGGCGGCGGGGGGGGCAGCGGAGGAGGCGGAGGAGGAGGCGGCGGGGGGGGCGGCGGAGGAGGCGGAGTCGGCAGAGTCGGAGGCAGCGGCGGCGGCGGCGCGGGCGGCGGCGCGGGCGGCGGCGCGGACGGCGGTGCGGGCGGCGGCGCGGGCGGCGGCTCTTGCTGCGGTGCGGCGGCTGGGCGGGCCTCGGCTGCGGCTGGTGGCTGTCGGCGGCGCGGTGGTGCCGCAGGCGCAGCTGGCCTTCCTGCGCGAGGTGTTTGGCGGCGCCGGCTGTGCCGTGTCGAACGGGTGGCGGGATGAGCGGGGTGGCGGTACCAACAGCCGATGGCTGACTGACTGGTGAGGATTGGACTGCAATCGTCAGGTGCGGGATGAGCGAGATATGGGGAGATATGGGGAGATATGGGGAGATTGCAGGAGATTGCAATCCTTAGGTACGGGATGAGCGAGGTGCCATATCTCCCCACATCTCCCGACATCTCGCCACATCTCCCCATATCTCCCCGCAGGTACGGGATGAGCGAGGTGCCGGGCGGGATCGCGCGCGACGGCGTGCCCCTCCCCCGCTGGCGGGGCTGGACCTGCCTTCGAGGAGCACCTTATTCAGCGGACGAGTCACGGACGCTAGGCGTGCCTCTCCCCGGGGTGGAGGTGAGGCTGCGGCCGCTGCCGGGCGCCGGGCCAGGCGCCGGCGAGATCCTTGTCAAGACTTCTCGCGGCGTCATCGTCGGCGGCGGCGGCGCGCCACGGCTCGACGCGGACATGTCGAGGACGCGTCCATGACATGTCCGAGACACGTCCCGCAGGCGCGGCGCGGCTCGACGCCGACGGCTGGTTCCGCACCGGCGACATCGGCCGGTGGGTCGAGGGGCCGGGGGGCGGCGGGAGGCGCGCTGGGGTGGTGGAGGGGTGGAGTGGAGGGGCAGCTCTTCACCGCTGCGCGGCGTGGACAGGTTGCTCGAGGTAGTCGATCGGCTCGGCTTCGCGGTCAAGCTGAGCAACGGCGAGTCTTGGTCTCGGCTCCTCTCGGCTCACCTCGGCTCCTCTCGGCTCACCTCGGCTCCTCTCGGCTCCCCTCGGCTCCCCTCGGCTCCTCTCGGCTCCTCTCGGCTCCCCTCGGCTCCCCTGGTCTGATCTCGGCTCATAGGTTCCCCTCGGCTCCTCTCAAAGGCGAGTTTTGGACGCCGCAGCGCGCAGAGGCCGCCTTCGAGGCTGGCTGCGCCTCCGTCGACCGGCGCGTGCGAGACCACTCAGAGACCACTCAGAGACCACTCAGAGACCCTCCGAGACCCTTCCGAGGCCCTTCCGAGACCCTTCCGAGGCACCTCCGAGGCACCTCCGAGCCACTTCTTCTAGACACGTGTCGCGGGTGCCTGCTCTTTGCTCGAGATTACCCGAGATTACCCGAGATTACCCGAGAGTACGCGTGTCGCAGGTGCTTGCTCTTTGCTCGCGCGGGCGACGCGGCGGCGACTGCGGTGGTCCTGCTGAGGCGGGAGGCAGCCGCGACTCCCGCCGCAGTAGTGCTGGGCGAGATGCGTGGCGCGGCGGCGGCGGCGCGGCTCGCGGCCTGACGAGCTGCTCCGCTTGCTTCCTCAACCACCTACCGCGACTTGACCACTGGTGACTAGGCGCGGCTGCAGGCCCACGAGCTGCCGTGTGCCGT